TGCCGGGAGCCTCTCCTGCCTCCTCAGCAGCACTAAGGATGTCTGACTGCAGCATAGGTCTGCTCCCTGCTGGCAAGTGGACATCCCCCAAGGGCTGCCAGGCTGCCAGAGGGATGTCTGATTGCCATCTTAGGCCCAATCCCCCGGGGAGCAGGCCTAAGGTAGCAGGTGGTCATCCCCCGAGGGGACCCAGACTGAAAGAGGGCACAGGCTGGGCTGAGGAACCACCCCCCTGAGTGCACAAATTTTTGTGCACCGGGCCTCTACTCTATATTATAAAAGGCCAGTGCCCATAATGCTGTAAGGACCAAACGACCAGTTACCAGGAGGTGCATTGATGGGTCCTGCCAGCGCAGCGGGTTTCTGGGTCTGGTTTCTGGGTCTCCCATTTTGTGTGCTGAGGCTCTAGTACATTTATAATCCCTCACCACTTTGGGCTCATGCGTTCCTCCTTCCATGACCCTAACAATACATTGGGTAACGTCTCAACAGCCCTCCCTAGTCCAGCACAGTCAATATTTTTGCAGTGACACGATGAATATTCGAATTAAGTGGGGTGCATGAAAACTATAAACTTGCACCAATTCAGGTCAAATTTCACCACCCCATGAGCCAGGAAAGCAGTTGTTCTCTGAGCATTTTGCACTTCACACCTCAGGTAGGGTGTGGGAGCTTTCCTGTCCCCCCTCCCACCGTGGGACAGAGATGTGACAACAATCCTTACAGCTGCCCCCGTGGGGTGCTCATTCCACGCAGGATTTGTGTGGCCTGCTCATGGCTCCTCACCGTGGCCCTGTGCCACAGGAGGTGTTTTCACACCCATTTCACAGATGGGGAACCGAAGCCAAGGCGGTTGAGGAACCGGCTCACCTCAGAGTCCTTGCACCCTCACAGCCCTCTGCCTGTGGCTGCAGGGCCCCCTCCCCGCACATCTCCTAGAGAAAGAAGCAAGAAGGAAAGCAAAAGCGAAAGCCGCTTCTCGGAAAGCCCTGGTTTCCCAGAAGAGGTGCTCAGAACCACTGGCTTTTCTGCGCCAGGAATTTTCAACCCTGACCTTTTCACAATCCCTGCTCAGGACAGAGCTCCGCAGGCCGGGGGCGGGGGCGGGGGCGGCGCTTGCGCCTGTGCCTGGTTAGCAAAACCTGCTGGACACTGGGCACTGTCTTCATTGTCCTCCCAGCCTGGACGGATGCTCACAGCGCCCTGTGGACCTGAGGCCCCAGAGAGGTGAGGACAGAGGACAGGCTGCAGGGAGAGCAGGTGAGGCACGGGCAGAGCGGGGAGGGCTGCTTGGGCGCCTGAGGGGTCGGCTACAGGCCAGGAGCTGTGGTCAGCGCTGCTAGGGTTCAAGTCGCTCCCTGTCCTGCCAATTATGAACTTTGTGAGCCTGGGAAGGGTCTGAAGTTGAAATTCTTTTTCTTTGTTTTAAATTGAATTTTAGAGAGAGAGGAAGGGAGAGAGTTTGAAAACAA